TGAAACTGATTTGAAACTGATTTGAAACTGATTTGAAACTGATTTGAAACTGATTTGAGCGGGATTTGAACTCGCACTTTTGAAACTGATTGTCTTAAAGGCAATGAAAAGCATATTTAACCTCTTTGAATTACCGAATGTTTTAGAATATCAGTTTTGCGAAAATCGTATAGCATTTAGTTGAACATATTTACTGAATTGCACTGGCATACATAATGCTTTTATACTGCGCTTGTTGTGGTTAATATATTTGAAATGCAACATAATCCAGCAGACGGAACAGTATATTATAAATGAGCTTATAAAAAATGTGATATATGGGGAGGGACGTATGCTGAGAGATTAAACCTGCTCTATATGCAAGGGATAAAACACATCTATCTGGTTAATTATCAACCTAGGTTATTGCTGAATAAAATGCAAGGGTAAGTTATCGAAAACCACTTAAAGATTGTGCATATTTGACATGAAAATATTTATGTAATATAAAATGGTTTTAACACGTGCTCGATTGTCACTCGGTTGTCACTTTGAAACGCATAGCATTTTCATTGATATAACTTTCAATTGTCGCGGGATAATAATTTTCAGAATATTAAGTACTAAGCAGAAGTGTTTAGGAAGCGCATATTGATATATTACTGGTTCTACTTAATCACAAAGTATATAAATTGTATAGCCTAAAATGTATCGATTGACACTCAACTCTAGAAATATCACTATGATATATCAGATTTATTTATGTCGAAAAGTGTCAATCGATCCAAAACTTGTCTCAATCAATTTCAAACCCTTTCATTAATAGCAAATACATTGTTAGACATTCTCAGCAAATTATTCTTAGCCTTGTTCTAATTTAAAAGCTGCCTAATTGCCCATTATTTCATATTTCTATAGTGACAATCGAAGTGACAACCGATGTTAGTTTCATTGCATTCGTCTGGACCGGAAACACTTATTAGCATAATTAGCGTATAACACTAACTTTGTGTTGTATAATGCGTACAACGCCGTATACAGCGAGTCCCTTTCGTTACATATTTTTGGAAGCCTGTGCAATTTCTTGCTTCGACGGGTCGCGCGCGCTAGTACTTGCTAACTCGTCAGCACTATAGGGAGGTCTATAACCCTGGAGAAATCACGAAGTCCGGGTCATTCTTTACCACGTACGAATACGCTGAATAGTAATTTTTGGGATTGTCTGACTGAGTTCAATTAAATGCCGAATTTTCTCTTCTCGAGCTTTCCGATAGCTCGCCAACTTGATCTTGCGGACAATTTTTTAGCCATGTGGAAGTGACTATATATACTATATGATACCGCCCTTTCCATTAGCCTCCGAAATTCCCACCCACTGAGTGCTCCTTTGTACCCATGCGTCGACAATTATATCTGCAAATTCTGCTCTAGAAAGATGTGAAATGTCACATTCACTATTGGTGATAAAAATCAAACGTTCTTTACCTTCGGAGTACCCGAATTAGCAGTTGACTCAGGCCTTACCCGCATGCGAATGTAACTGGATGTTATATTACTATGCTATAAATTAACAGTATGTGTGACATATCTAGCGTAAAACATTTGCGATACCTGTCTTTATTGACGGACTATAACCTCTCAAATAACCTACTAGTGCTCGATCTGCCAAAATTTGTAGAAGGAAACAACGTATAAATCCTTTGTGATTAAGAATGCATTATGACATAACAAATTATATTCATATTCTGTTAATTATTAACTTTGAGAATTTTAATGAAACTTAATTGTTCTATAATGTCATTAGATGTTCTGTGAACGAAATGGAGCTGAAATACTTCGTTCGCAGAGCATTCTATTCCCTGTACTTTTGAGATGTACAATGTTGTTACGGCATATGGGGCCCAGACAATCACTTTCAGAAGTTGTTGGGACACATGTAGTTTTGGCTTGTAACTTGTAAGTGGATCATTATAGTTTTTTACACATAGTACCGCTGCCCTCCCCCTCCCTCCACCCCAATCAATGTTGTTTAAACCAAAACACATCAAACCCGACGAGAAATGGGACACAACATTGAACAGGGGGCGGGTGGGATTGTACGTAGTTTGTTGATATTCAAAGTTTTTGTGGCATCTGTCCCAAGACTTTTGAAACTGATTGTAGCCGCTTAAAATTAATCAATAGACCTTTCCCCTTATGAGTGAAATTTTGGTCTAGACAAGCTTAAACATAAATTTCATCACAGCTTGAAAGAGCATCACAAAATTAGTAATATTCCGAAGTTTCGTTGCGAAATGTTGTAAAATGCGGAAAATATAGCCTTGTGAAGTTTGCCGTTTTTTAGTCATTGTATTACAAATAGGAAATTGATAATCAGTTTGATCATCCGATTATCAATTTCCCGTTTGTAATACAAAATGACTGACAAAAGGCTATATTATCCGCGTTTTACAACATTCAACGAAACTTCGGAATATTACTAATTTTGTGATGCTCTTTCAAGCTGCGGTGAAATTTTTGTCAAGGCTTGTCTAGATCAAAATTTCAACCAGATGGGGAAATTAAGGTCTATTGTAGAGGTGTGCAAATCCAATCCGAGTCCGATCGGATTCGTTCGGACTTCGGAACCAAGATGTAAATTTCGGATCGGATTGATAAAAATGTTTCGTAGTCGGATCGGACCTCGATATCCTAAGTAAATTAAAATAAATTAATTATCCATGCATTACCGCAAGAATTAATCATCCATGCATTTATCAAAGTTCATCGCGGTTTTCGCTGCATTATTCGTTTGATACATCAATTGGACTTCACTTTGTCAGCTGCTTGACATGCATTTCTTGCTTTTATAT